TCCACTCTTCCTACCACTCCCACCCCCCACAGCTTTCTCCTCCTGTGCCACCATCCCCTCCCTCCTAGATTTTAAGCTCGAAAGAGTAGGGCCCTCGATCCCCTCATGTTTTGCATTGTATTGTATTGTTATTGTTCTGTCCCCCATTGTAATGTACAGCGCTGAGCGAACTATTGGCACTTTATAATAATAATAATATTAACTGAGTGCAACCTTATAGTCATACAGCCATGAAAATACCAGCGCTTCTGCCTGGCATGTTAGGATACGATGTTTGAGGACCAGTTAGCAGAGGGCTGTGTTAGAACGTTGCTGCAGGATGAAAACAGTGCCGATGTGCCAGTTGTGGAGCATTGTACTGTTTCTTTATTTAAACAAACTGTGTGACATTTCAATAAGTTCTATTGGCCACTGGGTGGTGCGAGTGGATTGCATTGCACTGTACTGAAAAAACTTGTGCATGCTCTGCAACACAGTGGTTTGAACCGGCCAGGTGGGAGACAGTATATTTGCCTTGTGTTGCGCTGGGGCTGCACTGGAATAGCTGCCCAACTAAAAATTTGGATGAACTTTGTAATGTCTTAACAATCTTTTTAAAAGTGTTTTGCTATATCTTAAAGAATATCTATATTTGAAAACTTTGACTTGAAAAAATCTACAGATTTTATAACACGAATTGTGGGGATAAGGCTTCCTGGGGGTCATCTATAACTCATAGAATAGACTTAATAGGCACAAAACTTGATTATCTTTATTACAATTTTTTTTATAAAAGAGAAAACAGCAATTAATAAAACAATTTCTCACATAGATCACATATTAGAAATATCGCACCCTATCAAATAAAATTGAAAGTGGTCACCCCCTACAGTCAAAAATGCCAATAAGGTACCAAAAGACCACCGATGGTTGGAATGATCTCATGTGGCTATGTGTTCTTTCTAGATGGGGGTGTTTTTTCAATTTCAATTGATAAGGAATCATAAATCATAAGCTGACAAAATATGTGATTATATGTAAAAAAAATACAGTTTTTGAATGATAATAATTTATTCATTAGAAGAAATATCCCTGAAAACACGCATTATTTGTCCAACTTTAATATGGGTTAGATAGAACGCTGGTATGTATATGGGTGGAAGAATGTAAATGGTTGTGTGTCTGCCCACTGAGTCTATTAGGTCCGCAAAAACAAACTGAAAAGGTTTGCCACCTTTTCCACTTTTTGCAAACCCAAACGGACAAATAACATGAACAATGATGTGATCCATAAAGATTGCATGGGTCTTTTTTTCTCTAGGGAATTTTGAAATGGGCATGAATATTACATATGAGACATCCATCCTGCTATGATCCCACTTAGCAGAGAACCTGTTTGCAGATCTTTTTTATGACACAGAATGGAGGACAGTTGTTTGAAGGAGGACTAATGCTTTTCTGTTGATAAAGAAAGTCACAATGTTTGTCAGGTCTTTGTTGTCCTTAAATACATATACATGCATCTAGCACTTTAACAACTGTCTAAGACTCAGTCTAGTCAATAGTCTTAGGCTACTATCCTCCTTCCCCTTGTAATGAAACTGCAAACAACTCCCCCACTTTCCTAATTGTACCTATACCTTGGATACATCATTGAAAAGGCTACAATTCACATAGAACAAATACTTTTTTTCTTTGGAAAAATGTTTTTCTTTGGAAAAAACATCTGAAATGTTACTTCAAAGAACTTCTCAGAAAAATTAAATGATTGCCACTAATGTCTCCCCCCAAAACAAAATATAGCACAGTCATTTGGTTTAAAGGGTCACATACTTGCAACAACAATACAGTTGTAAACTGCTTCTGACTGATTGCTTGTATTTTGCCAGAATAATCATCAACAAAGAATTACTTTTTCAATAAATTAGCACGCAATTTGAAACACAGTTGACTTTATTCAATAAAAATAAAATTTTTATAGATAGCTTAGAGAATGGGGTTTTTCTAAAACCTCCCTGTCAGTTTCTTTTTCTCATATATGGCCCACTAGGGAGACTTACCTTCATTTCCTGCCAATAAACATGGCAAAAAGTAATAGCAAATCTCACCAAATTAAGGCAAATTCCCATAAAACAGTTGTCCCCAAAATAATTCTCCTCACTGGGAACTTTTTCTCTATTCTTTTTCCAGCAATTTCTCCAAATTTATCATTTTACAGTTGCAGGGACAAAGGTCACCAAGACACATACAAAGAATCGAGTTAATTGGTACAGAGAGAACAATAAAAACCTGACAAAGGTCCTAATCCAATCTTTCCCAGTCTACTCAATCTAAACCTAAAAAGGAAAGTTTTGGCTTTAGATACATTTTAAAGCTAAAACAAGGTACAAATATAAAGTAGGTTATATTATAGATTATGTGTTTGCAGAACCATAGTCAACTCCAGCGTCCTACCACTGCCAGTAATTTGAGTAGCAACCAGAAGCAAATTGCAGACAGCTAGTGTAGTTTACAGAACAGGCAGCTGAATGCAAGTATGAGGCCAGGCAGATGAAAGTGGTTTGGGCTGGGTACTGCTGTAAGCTTAGGAAAATGGGAGCACACACAGCAACATATTTCTGTGTTTAAAAACTGTTCCTATATTGGAGAAGAGAGAATTATGCAGAGGAATTATGTACCTTCCCCACTGAACACTCCATGTCCACTGGACCAATTATTACTTCCTCTATGCAATCCCGCTACTATAGAAGAGGTTGCTAAACATTTTTCCAACACCCACCTAAGCACCCGTTCCCTGGAACCTGTTCCTTCGCAAATGCTATGGTCACCCTCTGGCTCTATCATACTCTCTCTAACTCACATATTGAATCTCTCTCTATCTTCTGGCATCTTCCCCAACTCTAAAAAAATATGCACTAGTTACCCCCATACTTAAAAAGTGCTCACTGGACACCACCAATCTTAACAACCTATGCCGATCCCTTTTTTATCCAAACTCCTTGAACATCTAGTCTACAAATGACTGAGAAACTATCTCACTGAAAAACGTGATCCCCTTTAGTCTGTGTTAGGAATGGACTTGCCAGTAGTGGTGGGACTCACCTGCCTTGTGGGCTGCAGTACCAGGGCTGGCCAGCGGGTGCTCCCAGCAATCAGAGACTCAACCCTGCAGCCAGCCAAACACCTGAAACTGCTTAGGCAGGTGTATTTAAGTGATGGCCAGACCTGCAGGCCTTGCCTTGGTGTGTGTGTTTCTCCTGGGCCCTGTATCCTGTTCCTGCAACCCTGTTCCTGTTCCTGTTCCTGTCTGATTCGTTGCTGACCCTGCTCTGATCCCTGGCTTTGTCTGACCATTCTCCTGCTCTGATCCCTGGCTTTGTCTGACCATTCTCCTGCTCTGATCCCTGGCTTTGTCTGACCATTCTCCTGCTCTGATCCCTGGCTTTGTCTGACCATTCTCCTGCTTAACCCCATACGTTCTGACCTCCTGTTGATGATCCCGGCCTGACGACGCTTGCATTGTATGTACTGTTATCTGTGGGTGGTTTGGTTGTTTGCACTGTGTTATGTTTTAGTATTGCACTGCATTTATGTATTGTTAGTGTTAATAAATTATATTGTTTATATCATATCTGAAGTCTGCGTTTCCCTGCGGCAGTCACATACCTCTGGTCATACCCTGGAGCCCTGACATTACACCAAGGCCAATCCTGACCAGAAGTGGCTGCACAGGGAAGCCATCTTGGTTTGTTGATGGGAAGGATGGATCTTGATGAGGTTGTGTATTTATATCTGCTAGTGTTTGATGACAGAGAATATGCTTATCAGACTCTGAAGGAGTATCCCAGGGATGAACTGCTAGAATGTATACGGCTCGCTCATGTTCTAGTAGATCAGGGCACAGAATTCTCTGAGGTGCAGCCATTGATTCAGGTTTGTGCGGAGTTGGTTTCATCTGATACCCCCGAATGCAGGGATGAATTTTTGCCGCCATTTAGTGCCGACCAGGTAGAGTCCCTGGTATGGTTATTAGAGGATGATGTGGATTACTTTCTGGAGCGTTATTCTGCTGCATGTTCACCACAGGTACTAAGAGATTGTATAAACGCAGTGCAGTCTTTGGTCAGACAGGCTTTGTGTAAGCTCAGCTTTGTTCAACCCATACTGCAGACTTGGACAGATTTGTTGCACCCAGCCTCAGTCAGCTTGCAAAAACCCAGTCCTGCTTCTAATCTATTTCCTCAAAGCTCTATTCCTGCATTCCCAACAGCTCCTCCTGCCCTGCTATCTACCGCATGTCAGTACCCTGTTCCCACTCACTGCACCTATCCTGCCTTTAACCCTGTAAAGAAGTCCTCTGTAGCAACTGTTCACTCCCCTGTTCCATCCTCCAGCTCTTCTCTGTCTCTCCAGCTGCTCCATTCGTTTGCAGACCTGCGTTTACTTGCAGTGCTCCAGTAGTTAAAACCAGAAAAAAGCGAAAATTCTTTCCAACCAATACCATCCTGCCAGTATCCAAACCGGTCAGCCTGCCGTCTGAGAACCGGCCTTCCGTGGTTCAGCCTGGTGCCTCGGCACCCGCACTTCAACCTGATGTCTGTACCCAGCCTGATGTCTGTACCCAGCCTGATGTCTGTACCCAGCCTGATGCCTCTACCCAGCCTGATGCCTCTACCCAGCCTGATGCCTCCATTCAGCCTGATGCCTCCATTCAGCCTGATGCCTCCATTCAGCCTGATGCCTCTACCCGCCTGATGCTCTACTACCCGGCCTGATGCCTCTATTCAGCCTGATGCTTCTATTCAGCCTGATGCCTCCATTTAGCCTGATGCCTCCATTCAGCCTGATGCCTCTACCCGGCCTGATGCCTCTACCCGGCCTGATGCCTCTATTCAGCCTGATGCCTCTATTCAGCCTGATGCCTCCATTCAGCCTGATGCCTCCATTTAGCCTGATGCCTCTACCCAGCATGATGTTTCTACCCAGCCTGATGAACTGATCCAGCCTGATGATCCTATTAGGCCAGTTGACTCGATGCCCGCTGTTGATCCAGGCGATCCGGTACCTGATGACCCGGTGCCCGCTGTCATACCTGGTGACCCGATGCCCGCTGTCAAGCCAGACGATCCAATGCCTGATGACCCAGTGCCCGCTGTCATGCCTGGTGACCCGATGCCTGCTGTCGAGCCAGACGATCCAGCGCCAGATGACCCGGTGCCTGCTGTCGAGCCAGACGATCCGGTACCTGATGACCCGGTGCCCGTTGTCGTGCCAATTGACTCAGAGCCCGCTGTCGTGCCTGGTGACTCGGTGCCCACTGCCTTGCCAGGTGACGCGGTGCCCGCTGGCGAGCCAAATGACCTGATGCCTGGTGACCCAGTGCCCGCTGTCATACCTGGTGCCCCGATGCCCGCTGTCGAGCCAGACAATCCAATGCCTGATGACCCAGTGCCCGCGGTCATGCCTGGTGATCCGATGCCCGCTGTCGAGCCAGACGATCCAGCGCCAGATGACCCGGTGCCTGCTGTCGAGCCAGACGATCCGGTACCTGATGACCCGGTGCCCGCTGTCATGCCAATTGACTCAGAGCCCACTGTCGTGCCTGGTGACTTGGTGCCCACTGCCTTGCCAGATGACGCGGTGCCCACTGCCTGTCGAGCCAAATGACCTGATGCCTGGTGACCCGATGCCCGCTGTCCAGCCAGACGATCCAATGTCTGACCCAGTGCCCGCGGTCATGCCAGTTGACTCGGAGCCCACTGTCGTTCCTGGTGACTCGGTGCCTGTCGCTCCGCCTGGGGGTCCGGCGCCCGCCGCTCCGCCTGGGGGCCCGAGACCTGTCGCTCCGCCTGGGGGTCCGGGTGCCCGCCGCTCCGCCTGGGGGCCCGAGACCTGTCGCTCCGCCTGGGGGGCCCGAGACCTGTCGCTCCGCCTGGGGGTCCGGCGCCCGCCGCTCCGCCTGGGGGCCTGAGACCTGTCGCTCCGCCTGGGGGGTCCGGCGCCCGCCGCTCCGCCTGGGGGCCCGAGACCCGCTGCTCCGCCTGGGGGCCCGAGACCTGTCGCTCCGCCTGGGGGTCCGGCGCCCGCCGCTCCGCCTGGGGGCCCGAGGCCTGTCGCTCCGCCTGGGGGTCCGGCGCCCGCCGCTCCGCCTGGGGGCCCGAGGCCTGTCGCTTCCGCCTGAGGGCCCGATGCCTGTCTGCCCCGCCTGGGGGCCCGATGCCTGTCGCCCCGCCTGGGGGCCCGATGCCTGTCGCCCCGCCTGGGGGCCCGGTGCCCTGCTGCTCCGCCTGGTGGCCCGGTGCCTGCTGCTCCGCATGGTGGCCCGGTGCCTGCCGCTTCGCCTGGTTATCCGATGTGCCGCTGCCCGGAGTCCAGCCCGATGTGCCGCTGCCCGGAGTCCAGCCCGATGTGGCCGCTGCCCGGAGTCCAGCCTGATGTGCCGCTGCCCGGAGAGTCCAGCCCGATGTGCCGCTGCCCGGAGTCCAGCCCGATGTGCCGCTGCCCGGAGTCCTGCCCGATGTGCCGCTGCCCGGAGTCCTGCCCGATGTGCCGCTGCCCGGAGTCCTGCCCGATGTGCCGCTGCCTGGAGTCCTGCCCAATGTGCCGCTGCACGATGTGCCGCTGATGTGCCGCTGCCCGATGTGCCGCTGCCCGGTGTGCCGTTGCCCGGAGTCCTGTCCTGCCAGTCTTTGATATCCCGCCAGTTACCAGACCCGGGCGGTGGAACATTTTGCCCAGCTAGGACTGTTTGGAGCGTCCTGAGGCTGCTCCTTGAGGGGGGGGGTACTGTTAGGAATGGACTTGCCAGTAGTGGTGGGACTCACCTGCCTTGTGGGCTGCAGTACCAGGGCTGGCCAGCGGGTGCTCCCAGCAATCAGATACTCAACCCTGCAGCCAGCCAAACACCTGAAACTGCTTAGGCAGGTGTATTTAAGTGATGGCCAGACCTGCAGGCCTTGCCTTGGTGTGTGTGTTTCTCCTGGGCCCTGTATCCTGTTCCTGCAACCCTGTTCCTGTTCCTGTCTGATTCGTTGCTGACCCTGCTCTGATCCCTGGCTTTGTCTGACCATTCTCCTGCTCTGATCCCTGGCTTTGTCTGACCATTCTCCTGCTCTGATCCCTGGCTTTGTCTGACCATTCTCCTGCTCTGATCCCTGGCTTTGTCTGACCATTTTCCTGCTTAACCCCATACGTTCTGACCTCCTGTTGATGATCCCGGCCTGACGACGCTTGCATTGTATGTACTGTTATCTGTGGGTGGTTTGGTTGTTTGCACTGTATTATGTTTTAGTATTGCACTGCGTTTATGTATTGTTAGTGTTAATAAATTATATTGTTTATATCATATCTGAAGTCTGCGTTTCCCTGCGGCAGTCACATACCTCTGGTCATACCCTGGAGCCCTGACAGTCTGGATTTTGCGCTCAACACTCCACAGAAACTGCTCTCCTAAAACTCACAAATGATCTTCGGTCTAAAACCAGTGGACAATATTCTGTACTCTTTTTTCTTGACCTCTCTGCTGCCTTTGACACAGTGGATTCCCCCCCCCCATTTAAAAAAACTCAGCTCCTTTGGTCTCCATGACTGTGCTCTTGGCTGGTTCTAATCCTACCTATCTCACTGCACCTTTAGTGTCACTTACAATTCTTCTTCCTCCTCTCCTCTTCCTTTCTATGTCGGGGTCTCCCAAAGTTCTGTTCTTGGACCTCTCCTATTCTCAATCTACATTTCCTCCCGGGCCAACTGATAGCATCCCATGGCTTCTAATACCATTTCTATGCTGATGACACCCAACTCTATCTCTCTACTTCTCAGCTCATTCCATCAGTCTCCACACGCATCATTAATTTACTAACAGACATATCAGACTGAATGTCCAACCATTTCTTCAAACTCAATCTATCCAAAACTGAGCTCATAATATTTCCACCCCCACGTGCCTCTTCCCCTGACTTCTCTGTTAAGATCGATGGCAGAATTATCAACCTGTCCCTGCAGGTCAAGGTGCTAGGTATTGTTCTGGACTATGACCTATCCTTTCTGCCCTACGTCCAATCACTGTCCAAAGCTTGCTGCCTCAACCTATGCAACATCTCCAAAAACCACCCCTACCTAACCAATGACACTGCAATGCTTCTATTTCCCTCCTTGGTCATCTCTCACCTCATCTACTTTTCTCCCTTTTCATTGCGCACCTTTACATAGGCTACCCCCATTCAGTCCATCATGAATGATGCTGCCAGACCCATCCACCTCATCCAACTGTTCAGTGTCTGCTACTCCATTCTGCCAATCACTCCACTGGCTTCCGATCACCCAACAAATTAAATTCAACATACTAACTTACAAAGCCATCCTCAAGTCGGCCCCCAGCTACATCACTAACCTAGTTTCAAAATACCAACCAAATCATTCTCTTCATTCTTCCCAACACCTAGCTCCCTCATCACCTCCTCTCATGTTCGCTTCCAGGACTTTTCCCAAGCTTTTCCCATCCTATGGAACTCCCTACTCCAATCTGTCCAACTATCTCCTACTCTGTCTGCTTTTAGATGATCCCTGAAAACCCTTCTCTTCAGAGAAGCCTATCCTGCCCCCACCTAACAACTGTACTTTTATTTTCTCCATCAGCCCATCCCCCACAGCTATTACCTTTTGTATCATGTGACCCTCTCTCTTAGATTGTAAGCTCTAATGAACGTGGCCTTCTGATTCCTTCTGTATTGAATTGTATTGTAACTGTACCATCTGCACTCATGTTGTAAAGTGGGGAGGAAACTGTTGGCGCTATGTAAATCCTGTGTAATAATACTAGTAATAATAATAATGTAAGGACTGTGGCCTACAGCTGGTGGGGGTGTATCTCCTTTCATCCCTTCTTGTATATTACTAGCAGGTGCAGTAGGGTTAGGGGATAAAGAGGGTTATCAAATTTTTTACTATAATGGCACTGAGATGGTAAAAAGAATCTAGGCAGCTCCATTATCAGGTCATTGGTGAGGTAAAATGTTTGTGGTTAAAAAATATAGTTAAAATGACCATAAGCTCCAGACATACTTGTGCTGTACAGCAGTCAGTCAATCTACATAGAGCTGATCCATTTCTAAAAACCACAGTGCTTATGCTTACACCACCCTTTCTACTCTTAGCCAGACAGAGTGAATTACTCTTCTTTAGTTGGATTCCATGGATAGGTAGGTCTAATGCAAAAACCCCCCCAAAAACATAGCATTATGTTGTTTTAATTCCATCCATGATGCTATAGTGGAGTCCCCATTTACTCTCTAAGCTCAGATTCCTCTTTAACTCCATTTCCTCCCTTGTTCCATGTCTAGGTAAGATAAGTTACTCAGCTTCCATCTCTCAGCAGCCACACCTGATGAGGCAGAGGTAACTGGTCAAATGATCTGCATCCAGTTGAGTAGCCCTCCACCACTAAAACTGGCGTGCGGGCAGCTGGGTGAAAACCGAGAATAGAATGACGTTTTTCTGGAAGACCCAGCTATTGTAGGGAATCTCTTCCTGATTGCTACCAAAGTACTGTTGTTCAACTGTGGTGCACTTTATCCTCTAGTTGTTCACCTGTGTTACCAGAGCTACTCTGGACTTCACTGTGAGGGATGACGTTTGTGAAGACATCTGCAAGTAGTTGTGATCTGAACTATACTACTGAAGTAGTGATTCTCAGCTAGACTCTCTTTTGTTATAGAATCTTTTTGAGACTGTGCTATGCAGGCACGTTTCTATGTTTGAGCCACAGAGACATTGCTGTGAAGAGTTCATGTTTTTTGCCACCCTGACCTGTTTTCTATTATTCTGTAAGGTATGCCTGTTCTTTGCCATCTTAAACTCATGCTGTATTATTGCTTCTAACTTTGCACCTGTTTAGTAAGTTACACTTCCTTTCTGATCATTTGTCAGATTACCTATTTGGTAAAGTGTTTGTTAGTTCATATATTTTAAGGAGGCAAGGAAAGAAAAAAGTTCTGAAAATTTCCAATTGCACTCCCACTGGAGCCACCATAATAGAAAAAGGAAACTCCTCAATAGGTTTGCATTGGGTCAGATGTAACTTCATAAACTGTCCAATAAAGCTTTATTGGCCAGGGGTTAGGGGGCAAACATGCATGTGTCAGGTCGGTTGTTAGGGGGCAAATAAAGCATGTGTCAAGTCATGTGTTGGCTATATACTAGTATAGACAGACATGAAACTCTAAACAATATATCTGACCAGCATTGAGGTAAATAGCAAATTAATGATTATTAATTACTTTAGATTTTGTGATGTAAATAGACTAGCTCAGTAAGAATCTGGGTATATTTTACTGACATATCATTTAGCTATTAAACAGGAAATGCTGGGTTATTTTGTTTAGACAAATAGTATGTTTCTTAATACTATTAAAATTAACATCTACAATCTGAATATTAATTAAATTAACATCTACACTGCCATTGTTCTCAACAGAAGAAAAGAATACATTACAAATATTATACCGTGTTGTTTTAGAGAACTATGTGCATCTATTTGTTGCTCAAGGAGTGGCAAACATACTTTATAGGTTAGTGTTGTAAAGAAGAAAATCCAGAATTTCTGTATTGCCCTGAGAGCGTCATACGTAAATGTTTTTCAGAAAGGCATTTAGTATCAATTTTCACATCTCAAAGCATATTTGAGACA